AACTTGTATCTTCTGGATGATGGCTTTCATAGTTCTCCAAGTTTCCACTCCATACAGTAGAACTGTCTTCACATTTGTATTGAAAATCTTGATATATTTAAGCAATAATACTTCTTACTACGTCTACCATTATGGGATTGGAATTGACCATTGCATCTCTGTTCTAATGTAGTACGGCAACTGGAACTGATATACGTACGTATGTACGAAGTTCTACATGTTTACTAACTGACTAACTATTTGTAATGAGTTATGTAAATGTTTTTCTCAAGATTAATTGCATGGCATAACTTTTGCGATGATCTAAAAATACCTGCGCACCCTCTATATCTTTCATGATTGTAATATTCCTTGCTATTACATACCTATCCATTGTGTCATTTTAAATCATTTCCCCTGATATTCAGTTTTTTTTTTACTTTTCATTATCATTCATACTATGATTATGTAATTCAGTTAATTTATCTTGTTGTATTCATATTGTTCCGACTAACACTTGTTTCAACCTATTTGTTGATGATAACTAATTGACTGATTAACTTTTTTATTCTATAGTATATTGTTCGAATTTTAATTCAATTTGAAATAGTTTAGATTATCTTGTAGTTGATATTTTGACTAAAACTTTTATCATACATAATTGGCACATGGGCATCTTAGGCGGATTATCTTGATAATAGCTATTATGACTAAGTTTTACTATAGATTCGATAGAATGTGTGACTAGTAGTGGAATTTAAGACGAGCATTTGGTCCTATTTACAACTCGTCTTTCGTTGGATGTACATGCATCGCAATCAATCAATCAAACAATCAATAGCAACGTAGAACTTCGTATGTACGTGCATCAAGTCAAGTTGCCATATCACATTAGCACAGAGATGTAACTGTCAATTCAAATCCCATTGTAGTAGAGGTAGTAAAAGTATTGGAAGTAGTCGGAGAGGTTAGGATTGGAGATAATATTCAAGAAGTTGAATTTGAGATGGTGGAGAAAACTTGTAGCTCAGGTGGATGATTGTGAAGGTGTTTTGTTCTCTGAGCTGGTTGTTTTGGTTGTGGAGCTTTCATTGTTCTTCTGAACAACATCATCTGAAGTTCGTGCTGATGATGTTGTTCAGAAGAGAATAGCCATCAAAAAGTGATGAAGAATTAAAAAGTTTAGGATTTGAGAGAACACAAAGAATGAATGCACCTGCGCCATTGCAAACGGTTTTGAGCCATATCATTCAGGGTCTCTAACCATCGATTACTAACATCTCGCGGACCCCAACCAGGTAGTCGACAACTACCGACATGACTCAGTCCACTTGTCAGTGACTTCATGGATTTGTGCCATGTTTTGGTCTGGCCGCCCCTAGCTTTCTTCCAACCTACTCCTACACCACAAAACATAGCTTGTCGCGGCAGTCGGTGGTTAGGCATACGTAACACATGTCCCAACCACCTCAGCTGAAGTAGTTCCAATACTTAATCTAATGATCTGCCATCCTTATCTAGCACCCGTTTCCTAATAAGAGCATTGCTTATTCGGGTGTCCCAGGGTATACGAGCAATGCTTCTTAAACATCTAGTGGCTTGGTGTCTAACGAAATCTCAGCAACGATACAGCAGGCACAACTGGCTTTTACCAACTTGCCTCACCTATGGCGTAGGCGAGATATCCGTCTGCTAACCAAAGGATGGGTTAACTGAGCATCAGTTCACTTGTCTTCGCTCAAATTTATAATCTTTTGAATTCCTCGTGACCTTTTTTCTCTTTTCAAATTTATTTCACTAGATTATACCTATTGAATAATATCTTCGAACCCTAATCTTTTCCATTACCGCTAATACTTCTATTACATCTACTACTCTTAGATTCGAATTGACAATTCCATCCCTCTCGCTCTCTCTCTCTATACCAATATGGTGTGTCAACTCGAACTGATGTATGTACATACGAAGTTCTACGTTGTAGAGCAGCTGACTGACTAACTAAATCGTGTTTTGAATCTCAATTATTTCTTCACTTTTTGTGTTTCTTTAATGAACTGTAGAATTTTGGCTCGATTACAGATTCCTATTAGACGCTACATTGTCGCTTACTAACCTAAGAGTGACAAGTTTCACTTCAATCTGTTTCATAATACATGTTAGCCATACTAACCGTTTCTTTCAAACACAACGAAATATATATAGCAATAGCTTAATGAATAATATCTTACTTCATTCAAATGATAAGTTAGTTATTGTTTGCATGAATCATTTGTC